TATATATATATATATATATATATATTGAATGATAGAATTGTAATTCAGCAAATTAATAATAATATTTTTAACTAATTAATTATGATGAACAATCGAAGCAATCTTACACTTAAAATTATGTTTTTCTCATAATTAAATTATTTTAATCCATCATTGGTTACCTCATATAACTCTGTATTTCAAAACCATTTATTTAAAATAATTTAATTGAAATTTATTTTGTATTTTTCAAAACCATTTATTTAAACCGAACTGAATTAATCAACTCATATAATATAGTCGATATAGCCAACATACATTGAATCCAAAGTGACTTAAAATTAAACAATTTTTAAATTAAAAAAAAAAAAAAGCTTCCCAACCCTAAAATTGCTTTTCCCAACTTGCATGATACGTACATTATTATGAATGGCAGATTGGCGTTAACAGCAAACCTAAATAATATACAATGAATTCTTAATGTTGAGTGCCACATAATAATTTCTACTAATTATGTGTATATTTGTCTTATTTGTGCCCCATTTAATATTAAATAATAAAATTGTTAAAATTTTAATTAAGAAAAATTAATCTACATCAAGAATGTGCCCGCACAGAGCTTGAGGAGATCCAAAGGTCCATAAGGAAGGAAGTACGACAAAGGAGGACCCACTGATATAATACCAATAGGCATGCTTATCTAATTAGATGCAACTACCCTAGCCAAAGACAAAAGCTAACCAAGCCAAGAGAAGGACACAAAAAACAATCTAAGTCTAAGCCGATCAGACTAGAGCATGATAGATAAGCACTCGAGCTAACCACCACCAGAGCCATGTAAAGCTGTTGACCTGCCTCTTGGTAGATCCGATTTGAAGAAAGAATCAAATTCCTCAACATCACCAACCGTCCCACGGGCGCGCCCCCTGGGACCAACAATTCAATTCCTAGACGAAAGCCAACCAAGCCTGATGGAGAGTTTTGATAGCCAGAGTAAGCGGCACATGCGTACCGTCTAGGAGGAGGAGGAGCAAAATGATGATGAGGATGAAGATTAGGTTTTTTTTCGTGCTTGAGGTTGTTCCCCCGGTATAGGGGCTGATTTTATGATAGATTTTCAGTTTCTTGTTATTCATTGATAAAATTAGGGTTCAAAAATCATGAATTGAAATTTCATTGTGCTTTTTAAGATTTTAAATATATAATCTTAAATTTTAGATAATTTTTATCATAAATGAGGGAAATGAATGTTGTACAATCAAAGTACTCTTGACTAGATCTTCTATGGATCAAACTACTCATAGCAAAGCATGAATCGTCCGTCATAACTCCACAAAAATAAATAAAGATGTCTAAAGATCATATACTGACGATGGGTCAACTGACCCAAGGGATAACCGAATCCAATGCCAAATGAAAGATCGAGCGACCAATCAAGAAAGCATCGGAAGATGATTGAACCAGAAGTTGACTAACCCGGAGAGATATCCAACGACCTCATGACATGTCATTCGATAGGAATAATTTGTTTTGTAATTAAATTAAAAAGTTTAGAAAGTAATCTAAAATTTGCTCAAAAACAGTATTATTTAATTCCGTAAAAATGACATGCGGAGCGGATTATCTCTAAAGAAACATTCACAAATGGCGACCGTGACAGCATTAAAAACTATTTATCATTTTTAATTATTTTACATCTGCTAAAAATTACAAAACACCGTGACAGTGCATTGAAAAATATGAGGGTCTTTTCCATACAGGACAAAGCCGCCGGCAGGAACCGGTTTAAGCCAATTGCTGGGCGGGCTAGAGGAGAGCCCAGCTGGGCCTGATTGGGTTTTGCTTCATTTAAGCTTCAATTTGGCTCATTGCATGAAACATCATTTAATGCATATTAAGATTTTTAGACTAAAATAAATATTCATTATGTGGGCTTTACATGGACATTACTAGTAAGGTTGTCTATCAAAAATTTGTAGAGAACTCATATTTTATTTGTGCATTCACCAGTGACATTGTGATTGAGGGTGTAGTTTTTTATTGTGATGTCACGAGTTAAAATTGTGCATATTACATTTTTCGGTTATCTTTTCCGGAAAAATAGTAATAATAATAATAACTCATCATTTGTTATCATATTTTTAAGTGGAGGTAGAGTATAATTTTGTAGAAAAATTTTTATTGCAAAGTCAATTAAAAAAACAATAAAGTTTAATAAATACATTTCATGAGAATATATATGCTAGTTATGACTAGTAAATATCTTGTATATGTATTAAGAACTTTCTAAAATGAGGTAGGGGCATATCAAGTCAATGACCTACTTTATCTTGACTAAACCCTAACCAATAATGATGCTGGAATGTTTAGTTGAGTAGACTTAGTTGGTGACACGAGTTTGCTATGAAATATTATAACATCTATTCAACGAGCAAGTGAACTTTGTTGTTGACTATTTGTTGCTTTAGTCTTATGACAGCTTATTTTTATTGGCGAATATTTTTTTATGGATAGTCAATTTTAAAAGAAACTACATAATTGTATACTTGATGATAATCTTTTAAGCATATAACCTAATTACTATACATAATTGGATTTATAAATTTTAATACAATAAATCAAAGTTTATTAGAAATTATTTTATTTATTTGATGATGTAAAATTTAAATATATATAAATAATTATTTAGTTGATATTTTGTCGTACATATACTCTCAATAATATATCTGTCGAATGAAATGATGGCCTGGTGGTTAGACATTTGCTCACGTATTGAAAATCTTGTACTCAAACTCATCGACCATAAAATAAAATAACTTTCAAAATATATTAGACTTAAGAAAATTGATAAGAATTAAATGTAAACAATTTTTAAAAGACATCAAAATATATATGCACTATTACAGTATAAATATGTTTTTTTTGTCTTATTCATAACATAAATGCATAAATAACACTGTTTAAATTATTAAATTCATATCAAAATTTAAAATTTATTCAATTTTGTAACCATAGAAAATAAGAAATCTGCATAAATTTTATACAAATGCTATTCATTAATTTCATTATTTCACTTTAAATATACAAGCATTATGTTTGACCCAAAATCCCATGGCCCGCCCAAACCGCTTCCGGGCTACGCATTTTCTCTTTGCTGCGACTTCGATTCACACTCTTTTGTCGCCACCGCTCCCACCCACACAAAGGTTCCACGTGTCACAATGCCAGTCGACAGCCACCTCCTGCTCGTAACATTTCATTCGCCCGGCCGCTGACCAACAGCTTAGCTGACAAATTTGGCCTTTTGCGAGATTTCCTCTGTTTAAAAGAAAACCCACGCCTTGATCCAACAATGGCTCTTCTCTAAATTCAAATCATAAACTCCGGCGATGGCCGCCGCAATTCATAATATCTTGCGAAAGCCACCACCGCCGAGCGCTTTCTTTACTCCGGCGGGACTCTCCGACTCCTCTCTCCTCGAACTCCTTCTCGCCGTCGCCGGCGACATCGGAAAAGGCGGCGACTTGCCGCAATACCAGCGGCGGAATGCACGTTGCCTTATTCGCCGGATTAGAACCTTTCTAATCCTTATTGACTTCCTCATTGAATTGCGGCAGGAGCTTCCGAGTTCGGCGGTTCTCTGCTTTAAAGAGTTCTACATCGTCGTGCACCGAGCGAGGATTCTTCTCGATTACTGCTTTCAATCGAGCCGACTATGGCTGCTTCTTCACAACAGGGAAATCTCCGGCTTTTTTCAGGACCTCGAACGTGAGATCTCGACGTTCCTTGATGTTCTTCCGCTCAACGAGCTCCGCCTCACCGCCGATGTACGGGAGCACATCGAGCTGCTCCGGCGACAGGTTGGGAGTTCGAAGATGTGCGTTGATGATGAAGATGAAGAGGTTCGGATTAAAGTTTTGTTCTTGTTGGAAGAATTCGGCAGGAAGAGAATTCCTGATCTGTCAGACTTGAAATCAACTTTTATCGACCGGATTGGAATGATGAATGCAGGGGATTTTGAGAATGAAATTGAATTCTTGCAAAAACAAATCTTTAACCACGAAGGCGCCGTCGATGCGGAGGCCGACCTTGCCAAAATTAGCGGCGTAATCGCCGTCGTTAGATACTCTCGTTTTTCTCTCTTCGGCACCAAGGAAGTTGAGGGAAGCAAGAAGAAAACTACCTGCCGGCCATCGTCGCCACGAGCCGGCGAAATCTCCGCTCCACCGAAAGATTTCTGCTGCCCCATATCGCTCGAGTTGATGCGTGATCCAGTGGTGCTCCCCACTGGTCAAACGTACGACCGCCAATTCATCAACCAATGGATCGCCGGCGGTAACCAAACCTGCCCCAACTCGGGCCAAAACCTCGGCAACCCCACCTTGATTCCCAACCGCGCCATTCACAGTCTCATATCCCATTGGTGCGCGGCTAACGGCGTCCCAAGTAACTCCGGCCAAAACCTCGGTATCGCCGCCACCGCCTTCACCGCCAACAAGGCGGCGATAGGAGCCAACCCCTCCACCCGATAGAAGCCAACCGCGCCACCGTTCGCCTCCTCGTCCAGCACCTCTCTACCGGTGAAAACGCATCCAAAGCAGCCGCCGCCAGGGAGCTGCGGATGCTCGCCAAAATCGGTAAGGAAAACAGAGCAATGATCGGAGCAGAAGAAAAGGCCATCTTTTTTTTGAACCTCCTCCTCCGCTCACCAAATCCAACCGCTCAAGAGAACGCCGTCACCGCACTCCTCAACCTATCCATCCACGAAGCAAACAAGACACGCATCATAAACCAACCTGGCTGCCTGCGATCCATCGTCCGAGTCTTACGCTCTGGTCTGACGCCAGAATCGAAGGAGAACGCCGCCGCAACTCTGTTCAGCCTCTCCGCGGTCCACGAATACAGGAAATTAGTGGTAGAGGAACCGCGCGGCGTGGAGGCGCTTGTTCGGCTGTTGAATAGAGGGAGCTTGAGGGGGAAAAAGGATGCGGTGATGGCTCTGCTCAATCTTTCGACGCTTCCGGAGAGTTGGGAGAGAATGGTGGGGTCGGGGGCGGGGGAGGCGTTGGTGGGGGCGGTGGTGGATGGGGAGGAGGAGGTGGCGGAGGAGGCGGCGGGGGCGCCGGCGGTGCGGGGGGGGGCGAGAAAGAGCAATAATGAGAGTGAGAGAATGTGTGAGATATAAATGAGAGAGCAAGAAAAAGAATGTGAGGAGGTGGCGGAGAGAGTGGGGAGGGTGCCCGGGGTAAGGAGGGTGGTGCAGAGGGTTGCGGTGGAGGGGACAAAGAGGGCGAGGAGGAAGGCGGCGGGGCTGGCGAGATTGTTGGAGAGGAGGGAGTGGGGGACGATGTATATGCCGGTGGCGGCGGCGGCGGGGGGGAGGGGGGCAGATTTGGGGGGGGAGAGGAATGAGGAGATCACTCCTCCTGTAGCGGTTCCTGTGGCAGTGTTATGAGATTTTCATTTTCTTTTTTGTTAATTGTCACTATTGAATTCATTCTTATATTTTGTTTCATAATTAATAGTTTTTTTTTTCTTTTTTAATTTCGTGGGTCTCTAAGCTAGATGGAATTAGTTTTGGGATGAGATAATTGTATTAAGGGAAAGCAAAATATGGTTGTTTTGTTTCTTTTTTAGAGAGAGAGAGAGGAGAGAGAGGAGAGAGAAATTGTATAGACATGTAAATTTAACTTATTTCATAAACCTTTTTTTTTTTTTGCTTACTTATTTGTTATTTGGTCCTTAATTGCTATGTTAATTATCAAGTATGAAACAAATTCTACAACTTGCAAACTCAATGTTAACTTGTAATGCTTAGAAGTTCTTAGCTCTAATCTTTTAAATTGACAAAATACAAATTTGATCTCAGACTTACATATAGTTGGCATTAAAATCTATAAATTTTAAAATTTTCCATCCAACTCTTAATGTGTCATTGGAGAGACCTCATAGACAACTTCAAACAATCTTCCAAAAACATTCACAGAAGGTGTCTTTGGGATGCCTCTAATTTGGCTTCTAGTTGAACCCTGTTAGGATTACCTCGAGCCACTCAAACAGCCTAGTGCTTTTCTGTCAAATGACTATTTTAACTGATGACAAAAAAATGGAACATAAAACATTATTAATATACTTCTAAGCTCCTTTGGTCACATCACATTGTTTAACGTCTATGTAGTTTGGTCCAATAAGATCTAGCCCGACCACAATACAATCAGCAAAATGGGATTTAGCATGGCAACCATAAATCATTCGCAATAATGTTGACTCCTAGCAATAAAAAATATGTGAAATCGCTTTAAATCCCAAAATATAGTAAGTGAAGGGACATTTAAATACCTGAGCTTCTATGCATTCCATTATATCAAGAAGAAAAGAATTTATGGCTTCAAAGATATAAGCATATTGAAGAGAAAAGAGTAAATGAAATGCTTAACAATTCATATGTCGTCTTTTATTTCCCCACAATATATGTCAATTACGCTCATTTTTTTTTAAAACATGACGTAACTTTAACACTTGGTGTGTATCTTCTTATTGTGCTTTTGTTGATTATAAAATCTTTATATGATGTTTAATCTTTATAATATTTGAGTACTTACCAAACTCCTCAACATGCTCTATAATAGATGTAGGTCACACAATCAAATCATTATAAATTCATTGTGTTGCTCTTCATTATCTATTATAGTTATTTCTCTTCATAAAACAACTTATAAAGATAAAAAATTTCTAATTTCTCTCTCTCTCTCTCTCTCTCTCTCTCACACACACACATTAACACAATTTTTCTTATATATTTGGAGTGGAGGAGCTGTCATCATCCATATTTATGGATTCATATATAAGAAAGAATGTATATTTCAATTTGTGAAAATAATCCAAGGAAGATGATCACCATCGCATTCATAATTTTGAGTCGTAATATTAGCACAAGTCCACTCCTTATTTTAGAATATCATTTAGGTTGTGATTGCTTTATCAACCATAATCACTTACATTCTTTTCACTATAATCTTTATCAACTAATCATCATTCTTATTGATATTGTCTAGACTTCCTTTAGTGATCAATCTATACTAGATAATCAAACCGTTAGCCCGCTAAATAGTGAAAAAGTTGGGTGATGCCCAATCTCCTCTTAAGCATCATTTGCAAGCATGCCCATTATTAACTCTTTGTCTTTATGATCATCAATGAAACAGTCTCATTGACATTTATGGTTCATTGACTTCACAAGGAAGCTGATAACACTTTTGACTTTCTTGATATTTTGAAAATGTGATGCTGATTTACAACATCAATGATGCCATTATATTGATTAAAGATTCAATTAGAAAATTGTCAATTCTTTGCTTGCCTCCACCATAAGTACTTTTGAAGAATTTTATTATATATTTCTATCACAATTTGTCACTTTGAATAAACTTTTGAAGACTCTCGAGTCAATATATTGATTTGAGAAGAAGGAAGATGAGTCCCTACATAACTATATATGAACATATTCAATAAGATACATGAAGTTATTAATGCAAAAATCATACTAAAATTATCATCATTCTCATGTTGTAACTTAAAAAGTTTACACTTTCATATTGCCAACAATCATTTTAGTAATGTTCATACCAAAATATTTACTCATAAAATTGAAAACTAACCCATTATTCTCTTTCTTCCTTACGAATGATGAAGATTAAATCTAAGGACACTTCATCTCTCATCCTTGGTCATATGAAGTGGTCAAGAATTAACTTCCATCACGAAGAGGTTCTCTTTATATGACTCACTATATTGAGCCTAAAAGGCAAGCTTGTTGCCTCTATATAAGTTTTGACTTCTCTCTTCCTCCTCCATGAGCCGATCGCTTAATATAATCTTGTTAACATTTCTAATAAAAGAGTACTTTTAAGTGGTCTTCACCAATGCACTGAACACCAAAATCCTAAAGTAAGTCTTGATTTTTCCTCTACCTCAATGACCATAATACCAAGTGTTGCATGCGAAAATCCTTATATTAAGAAAATTAGGAAAACCACCTTAAAGGAAAAAACTTTGTCAATTATTAAGCTAAGATGGAGAAGATTAACACCTTATTCAGCTAAATGATAACTTCGGGCCTAAATATTCATTCATTTATGAGAATTTCCTTCCTCGTGTTATAATCATTCTCTACATAAAATATAAATAATCATGTATACTTATCTGATAATAAATAATTCATGTGAATTTTCTTGGGGCCAATAATCTTAACAACTATAAATTCTTCTTAAGCAGTTTTAATACATGGGCTTTAAATTGTGCATCATCGACTTGCATAAGCAGTTTATGCACTAGATAGTTCCTTAATTTTGTTATTGATCAACTTCTTCCACTTCTTATTACCCCCCCTCTCGCTCTCTCTCTCTCTCTCTCACACACACACACACACACACCACCCCAAGTTCTATATTATTGCCTTAGCTCGCATGTTCATAAATAAGGGTTTGAAGGTTTTTTGTTGCTTCTTTGCAACTTCAATCCTTAGGAGCCTCAACACCTTAACGGCTCTCCATTCTTTACCATCATTATTGTCACAATATCTATTTCCTCATTTGTTGTTGTCGTCATGAAACCACTCATATTCAATGTTATTATTCACACCTTTCCTAACAATAACATTGATGAAGGGATAGAGTGCTCAATGCAATCCATCTCAACCTTAAGGATGAGAGTAACCTTTAGATTAAAAACTACCCACTCATTAGTACACCAATAAAAAGCATCTTTCTTAACACAATTGTTAGAACCCAAAGCTCAAAGGCCTCATATTCACAAGGTCGAGGATCAAAAGTGTCTTTCATCTCTCATTGTGTTAATACAGTGTTAGCAATCTTTCTACTTTTTATCAGTCATATATCCCTTCATTGCACTAATAAAATAGTAATGATTTTTCTACTATCACCCAAGGCATTTTATTTTTTAGCATGTTCACAACAACTATCAACACATCTCAGTTATGAATAGCTCATTACTTTCTCTAGCAAAAAAATTATATTCTTATCCATGTTTATGAGGCACAATTATGGTAAAGTGTCAACTAAAGTTTTTACAACTATGCTTTAGTTATGTTGTTGATTCAACACATTCATATGCTATATCACATAGCATAAATTCTTTTCATCAAAATGAGAAATTTACTCCAATGAAATACTTAAAGTCAACTTTTGTTATTATATTAATTTTTAATTATATTTTCAACAAAGATCAATTCAAACTTTGTGAGTCAAAGTAACTTATTTCCGCATTTTACTGAATGTTATCATTTTGCTTTACACCCAACCAGTACCCCTTAAATATGATATATGTATAAGGATTCATAAATAACCCATCCAGACAACTTAGTACACAAATTTTATATGAGATGTTTACACATCAAATACCTAACATCTGACATTTATATCAATAGGTATTAAAATTTAAATATCATATAAGTAAATACAAAATAAATAATATGGCATGTATTTAAATCCCCCATTTTCTATTAGATTCAAATAATTGTAATTCAAGCTTTCTAATTTAAAATGAATAAAATCATATAATAAGACAAATTTAAGAGGGCTTACTAAGTCCAATCATTGACCCCACCAATTCTAACTCTCCAATAAATTAACATCTCTGTATTAAGACAAGATCAACTAACAACCTACCCATAATTATCCCTTCTTTGATTTAACCAAATGTCCCTCATAACAATAAAAAATTGTCTAAATTAATCAATTCAATGTAAGATAAAAGCTATGTATATATATGAATAGGTCTCCTTTGCTTTGGAGGGCCAAACAAGTCTTTTAAAGTGTGGTTTCATATGACTTCAACATTTTATTTACATGTGTTTAAAGATAACATAATATAATTAGTGCATCTCATAATAGTTTAGACTTCATAATGCCCCCTTTTGAATACATATGTTAATGCCCATATGATGAACGGGCCCACAAGTTCTCAAGACGTGCAAGCATCGGTCTAATTACAATGATAATAACCTTTCAAAATTAATTGATAGTGTAATAGAAGCAATAATATGAAAAATGTGCGCGCGCGTGCACACACGCACACACGTTTATAACCGGAAGCACATGCATGTTACAATATAGGAAAATTTACATACAAACGACATTATTTTTATGTATATTTACATAGCTAACACCTGAAGTTTGATGCTTGTGGTTAGGAGACCTTGGTGTCATAATTTTACACATGAAAAATTATATTTCATTTTTAAAATATAATGATAATAATGTATTTGATGTGTTGTTAAATAAGTAAATGCATAGGAATTGAGTGGCATGTTTGTAAATCTTTTTTTAAATACATTATTCTTATCAAATTTGTAATATTAAGTCAACATAACGCACAAGAAAGATTACATCTTCCGATACACGGCAAAAAAAATGAGGCATTTACATGCATACCACCCAACTCTTACATATTTACATATCCATTTATACCACCCAAATCATTCACATCAAATCAAAAATACCACCATTATAATTTATAAAAAGTGAAATACAGCATTTCATGCATTGGTAACATGGCATAAATGCAAAAATTAAACTTTAGGAAATAGCAACTTTATTTGGCAAACCAAGAGCCTAAACTAAGAGAGAATATTAACTCCCATCGTAATTTGTTTTCGGAGTCCAATGGTGGGGCGCCACGTGTCAAGTGGGTCTCATTGTATTACACTGGTATTGGCCGGTGTTAAAAACGGTAGAGCCCACCTAACACGTGGCGCCCCACAAGTAATTACAGATGAACAATCTAAGGACAAAAAACAGTGGTTGTACCAATAAGCCACCAAAAGGCTTCCATTTGTATAAAGGGAGATTTACATATCAACCACCCAATTCCCATGTATTTACATGTCTGCCAACTAAACATCAATTTTCACATATATGTCATCTTATCTATGCATGAAAATACATAAAATAGTGATATTTTTTATATAATATGAAAATTTTGGGTGGTATAAGTGTAAAAAGTGAAGTCTAGGTGTTAGACAAATAAATACATGGGAATTGGATGGCATGTATGTAAATCCCCCTTCCAAAACAAAATTTTTAGAGGAAAGAAAAAAAGACAATAAGCCATTTAATTGCCACATTGTTTGCAATGCAGTCTAACGACAAAATCATCAAATCTTCAGATAAGATGGCATAAAACGGCATTTAATCCATCAAAATGTACAAAAATGAGACATTTGTTGATCTAATAAAAAGATCTGAGAAGAGATGGATTTATGAAGCCTGGACTTACATCTACAAAAACCTTAATCCTGAAACAAGCTTTTGCATAGATAATTTAGCTGAGAAACAGATCTGAAGCAACGAGGAGTTTCTGGTAGTATATACAAACTCTTAAGTAAATATGAACTGTTTCTGCGCAGCATTTGGGGAAATAAAAATCTGAAGCCTGAGTTAGATCTTCTTGAAGAAGGATGAAATTTTTCCTTGCTTTGTATCATTAGCGCCGGCTTTTCCCGGTTTCTTGGTGCCTGCTTTTGTTCCAGTATTTGGTGGTGCGTTGGTCCCAGTTGCTTGTTCTTTGATTGCGGCGGTAGACCTGATAGTAGAGAAGTGAAAAATCTAATAACTAAGAGCTTGGAGAAGAAATGTTAGAAAAAAGACAACCAAAACAATGAAGTTGGTATTTTATATGATGACTGATGAACAAAATAGGAGTGCATCTGGGCTCGGGAGAGAAATTATGTGTGCCGACACACCTCCGACGTCTCGCACTAGTATAATACAAATCAAGCCCCTAGTTTGTGTGATCTACGTCCTCAAAGACATGTTTTTTAGTGAGGAAATATGCATGTTTTTTGGACGTTCTCTGATGCAATGTCATAGGGCACCAACCATGCGCATTTTTTAGGAATAAATGGATAGGCTTAACACTCCGCATTGATGCCCCACTATGCAAGGGAGGCCCCAAAATTTATCTGATTTTTCAATGAATTGCTTGAACAAAAACGAGCTTAAATGAAATTTACAACCTTGAGACAAAATTAAGAAGATAAAATAATTAAAATATTAAACTAAATTACTAATCGCATCAAAAGAAATTGAAAGAACAAAAAAAGAACACAAATTTGGATTCATAGGAGACCTACAATGAACCATAAAAACTCACTTGCGAGCTACTTAGAACTTCCTAACACTTAATTCAGAACTATCATAAGGGCGTAAAACTTTCAACAATACACACTCTGAACTAAACTTGGAAAGAAAATAAACTGCAAAGAGTCTCAATTTATAGACAAGGAAGTGCTATGTGGGCCTCACTGGAGCAAAAGTGAAAATTAAATATAAACTGCTTACAAAATTTTAAACACTCACGAAATACCAAAATCACCTAAATTGCTACTGAACCCACAGTGCAAATGCACAAGCGAACAAAAAAAGTAATTAAAGGTTCAAAATGACATCACCATGTGCTCCGACACACCTTATATACTCAATTGTATTTGAGAATGTTGTTTGGGCAAAAAATAAATGTAATATCAAATTTACGCTATTTCAACTATGAAAAAAACTTTTGGGTTTTATAGAAATATTGTCTGCAAAATTAATCTCAAATCATTAAATAGTGGCAATTTAATGATGATTCAAGCGGGTCAATCAGATTCTTCTTCTCACAAAAAATTGAAGTTAACAAAACTGAGATCACTCCTAGCCACACTTGATCATCTAAATGCAAGCAAGCAAAGTTGACAAGATATAAAGAAAACTAAAATTACCTGAACACGCTGATGATGGCCTTATTAATAGTAGGTGTGTGCATTATTCAGTAAAAACCAAAAAACCGAACCAAACAAGTTTGACTGATTCGATTAGGTTTTGAAAATGTATTTTGGCTTTTCATTTTTAAAACCTCAATTTGTTCTTCAGTTATTGGTTCGATTTTAATTTTCATTAATCCGAACAAACTGACAAACCAAAAATTCAACTTTAAGGTGAGGATTCACAAAATTAAATCAATATTATACATATAAGATATGCAATTCATGATGTTTGTTAATAATTGGACTCCAACTAACAACTAAATTTTAATCTGTTTATAACCGAATCATTTAAATTGAAGTCAATTTTAGTTTGGTCTGCTTGATTTCATCAAATTTTGGATTTGGCCAAACCAATTGCAACCAAACTCATAAATTTAAAAATCGAAACAACTTGAAAATCGATCCATCCAAATCATCTAAATGCTCGCCCCTAAATAGAAGACCTCAACCGAAAGAATTTATTTCAAAAATAATAAAACACTTAAATTATAAATGAGACTATAAAATTTTCAGATTAAGCACTTCTCCTTTCTCCATCTTCTTGATCACAAGCATCTTCTATCGCAACATATTTGAATGACTCTTCAAACGTAACTGATAGACAATCTTGAATTATGCTCCTATCCTTGTACATTTTCATTTTATTGAAAGTAACATGCTTGCTTCTGATAAACATCTGATTCTGATAATCTCACAATTTGTACCCAAATTCATTTGAGTCATGCCCAATAAAAATGCACGTGACAGATTATGCATCAAGTTCACTCATAGATCCTGCATTAATATTCACAAAGGTAAGTCTTCATTCAAAGGTATTAACGAACCGTGAGTTATTAGACAAATTGAATTGTTCGCTACTTTTGCCCCGAATTACTTTAGCAAACCTGTATGCAATCTCATACTTTTAGCACACTTCGAGATGGTTCTATTAATGCGCTCAGTCATATCATTCTATTGCGATATCCATGAAACAGTGACCTCATATATGATTCACTCTGCAGCACAATAACTCATGAACCTTTGATCATGATACTCGTCACAGTTATCTGATTTGAAACACTTTAACCTCAAATAGGTCTCATTCTCAACTAAGACATTCCACTTCTTGAACGCATTAAACATATCATATTTATGTTTTAAGAAATAAACACATAAATTTTATGGTATGATCATCAATGAAAGTACAAGTATTGGAAATCTCCAATAGATTGAACTGAAATATGATCTCATACATCAGTACGCACTAACTCTAGCCTTTTGAACTTCACCTTTAACACACCTTTGGAGAAAATAACCTTCTTTTAATAGTCATAGAAACAATCTCCACAAAAAACTAACTTTATGGATTTTAAACCTGAAGCTTGCTTTTAGAAAGTAAGGACTTTATATCTTTCTCACTTGTACGGCCAGGTTTGAGGTGCCAAAGACCCGCATTTACCTTTGTTTCAACTACACAAATGGATTATGGCATCTCCTTGATCAGGTAAAGAGTGCTTTCAATATTGCCTCGAGCTATCACCATTGCCCCTCTAGTCAACTTTCACGAATCACATATGAAAATAACCACATACCCTGACCTTGCAAGCTGGCTCCCCGAGATCAAATTTCCTTTTAAGCATGAAAGCATGGAGCATGTCTAACTTTACTGAGCTTTCAGAATCTTTCATTTGACAACCTGATATCAACATCACTCTTTGGCAATACTGCAGGCCTTGTCATCTTCCAAAATATACCTTGCCTAGATCACTCCGAGTTTAGTTTTTAAATGCTCCTTTGTTGGGGCAAGCATAAAAAAAGACATTTGAATCTGATTAAATACTATTTAGAAACAAAATAAGGGACTCGTCTTGGATTTCTTCTTCTGAGACATTTGTAGAGAATTTTCTGTCTTGACTCCTACCACCAACCATCTTCAGAGCATTGCAGTCTTTCTTGAAGTGACAATTTTGCATGCATTTCCAAAATTCACCTATGTTATCTCTTCTTCCTGACCTGAACTTTCCTCTCCTGGACTTGCATTTCAAGATTCATTCCTTTATCTTCCACATTCAAAGCAGAATTTGAATTTTCACCGTTTGTCTTCTTACCAACTGTTTCATTCAGCACCAACCCCACTATGTTAACAAAGTTTAGTTTCATATTAACTGAAGAGTTGCATATCGTGGTAACTAGCCATCCCAACTATCTGGCAATAAAGATAGGATTAGAAGTACCCTTCATTATTAAACTTGTTGCCCACAGAACACAACACGTTTATCAGTGTTGAAATTATCCAAATGTTCAGCCGCCAAACTACCTTCTACCACCTTCTTGAACAATCTCTTTATCCGAAAAAATTTATTTGAAGTCAGCTTCTCATACATCTTTGTTAGTACAACCATGCGATTTACCATAGTTTTTTTTTTATTCACAATGTTAAATGCAACATATGAGGAAAGCGAAAGAGGATTCAAAATTGGTGTTGTTCGATCTAGCACTTCTCATTCTTTCAAAGTCATCAATTCAAGCTTTTGAGCGATTCCTTCCAGAGGAAAATACAATTTCTTTTGATATAGTAAATCTTTAACTTGCATTTTTCAGAACACAAAGTTCAAACCTTTGAACTTTTCCACCTTAGACTTAGTTTGTCGGTCATTGTTGCCATTCAAATTAAAGATCTTCAAAAAAACCTGCCCTAATACCACTTGTTCGGAGGATTTTCCTTCTCTGAAATTGTGAAAAAAACAATGATTCGAGAAAATCAAAACAAAATAATTGAGCATTAGCACACAAACAAGAAACCCAAAAAATAAAACACCAAGATTTAATGTGAAAATTCCGAGAATGAGAAAATTACAGAGCGACAACACACCAAGAAATTCACTATTAAATGAGGAAAAACTTACATATTATATCATATACAAATTTACTGAAATCTCCCCACATAACTCGCTTCATCTTCTTCATGCATTACTCATTTTGTTTGCCAGCTAAGAAGATGCAAATTGCGCAACTAAGCCCAAACATAAAGCCCCAAATTAAGAATTTTGATTACAATCAGGTGGGTTTCCGAGTGCTCAATTTCAAAAGATAGAAACGAACATGTCTGGAAGCGGCTGCAGCGCTTCTGTGCACTGGGTTGTCCACGACTCTATTTCAGAAGATATTCATCCGAGCTCTGGGTGCTCGATTGCCCTCCCTGGCGATGGATTGCCCCTACCTAGGCAAGCGTTGGGTTGCCCTGCTAGCAATGGGTCACCTCGGTTTTTTGTTGCACGGATATAGACATGGAGACATGGACACGACATGACACAGACACAAGACACTACTATAATTGAAAATATAGGACACGAACATGTGTCAGACACACCATTAGAATAAAAATTATATGGACACAGACATGTTCCTAATGTTGCATCTCCATCTATTGGGAATGGCTTCGGATAAATCGTATGCTGCTGCCCTTACGGGTGTCCACGCCTCAGGTACACCTAAAAAAACCTGATATGAAAAATGGGAAGTCTGTCATCTTTTTTATAGAAGCTAAAGGTTTTCAACTTGCTTCCTTCTGTCGTCTGAATTTGGTTAGAAAATTTTTGTATGGTCATCCCAAAATGAAGCTTATTCGTAAGGAATTTGAACTTATGCACCATATTGGGAAATAGAAAATTGGACTATTAGATGAAAGACATATTCTTATTCAACTTAATAATGAAGAAAATTACACGCGCTTATTTGCTAGAAGAATAATATAGATTGATAACAGAGCAATGAAGATTTTGAAATGGTCTATGGAATTTGACCCACAGACGGAACCACCAATCATTTTGGTTTGGATTCGCCTCATTGGTCTGAAATTTCATTATTTTACTCAAAAAGAGTTGTACTCTATTGCCTCAATTTATGGTAAGCCACTCAAAACAGACATTCGTATTTTTAATATTTTTGTCCATTTGAAGTCAGAGTACTTATAGAAAGAGATATCACTTCATCTGCTTCTGAGAAAATTTAGTTGGGCACACAACATCATGGATATTGGCAAAATGTAGTGATTGAACATTTTCCTTCGTCTTGTTCGAAGTTTTGTATGTTCGGGCACTCCAGTTTTAAATGTCACCATCTACACCCCTACCTCAGACCAAAAAAAGCAAAGTGCTCTGCCAGAGGCAGTGAATCCATCTACTCCTGATCAGCTCCAAGTTATTGACACTATTGATCATTAAAATGAAACCCCTGAAGACGTCACTATCCTCGCAGACAATATCCCAACCATTCAGTCTCCACACAATGTTGTAGCTCCCCCGTCTTCGGAACCTCTTATCGTGGGGGCCGAAGGAGATTCTTCAGACCCCACCTGATATCACTAATATTACAGGTGACAATACCTCTAATGCATCATTACCGCCTCATCAGTTCGAGCAAGATGTTAATTTTACTCAGGCTCCTGGAGATCATGATGTGCAACAGTCTGCACCTGTCCGGCCACATTTGGACCGATCCATTGATCATATGAGTCAATCCTCGGATGAGGAATGATAGGTCTACACATCAAGAAGGAAGAATAAGAATGAAGACCTACTTGAGCTCAGGAATCTGATGGATGATACTTTAGTTACTTTGGGTAATGATACGCATCTTACCAATTTGTTAGTCGACTCCCTTCTGAAAACTAAAGGTAGGTGGAAAACTAAAGTGGGACGTCCCTAGCATTTTTGCGTCGTTGGTGACTTTTTGGTTTTTTATCTTTATGTATCTTTGCTTTATTTGGGATTTTTTGTGTGTTATATTGTATAAGTTGGGCTCCCTTTTAGGTCCTCTCATACAACTTATCTGTATCTTTTCCTCTTTAATATATAGCCATTGGACTTTTTCTAATATATATATATATATATATAAGAACTCATTATAACCATACCTAATCCATAAAACTATTTTAGTTATATCTGCCTTCTTGACTTTGACTTGATGATACCCCAATCTCAAATCAATCTGTCAAAAAATATCAGTCATGAGAGCAATTGACGAATCACTCGAACTTATCAACGAGAAAAGAAATTGGACAAATAAGTCGAACATATAGGTTTAACATTTAAATAAAATATATGTTTTTTATGTTACTTATAAAAAGTATATCATATATGTTTAAAAAATATTTTTTAAAAAAATTTAATTCACTAATATAAGACGACCTCGAGTCCCTTTTTATTTTAAAATTATTTAAATTGGACACGTAAGGGGGCGTCTGACAAGTGTCTGGGTCGTGTCGGTGTCCGAGAAATTTCCGACACTAGAAGGATCCTTAGTTAGAAGCATCGGTGCATCATTTAGCCTCGTCCATACTCAGCCAAGCGTTGGGTCTAGTTATGGGCCGCCTGGTGCAGATGTTGGGTTTGATTTTCCTGTCTTAACACAATCAACCTCCACACATTACAACAAGGAGTAAGGAACCCCATTATTTATTCTACTTTATTAAGTTGAATGATCTCATCTCATGAACATATAATTTATATCTCCCAACACACATTTCTTATACAACTCATTGAATCATTATTTGGTGGGCTTCTTTAATTACCCAAGGTCAATTGATGTTCCAAATATAAATCATATCATTCTTCTATTATTCTTAGCCTTCCAGGCAACCCACTTAGTTTCCCATTTAATAATTAAGAAACTGAGAGACCTATCCTCCTCTCGAGTATATATACTTAAGTTATGCTTATCTCTTTCCATAAAGAAAAATGTTTTTAAGGTGCCTGCTCTAATCAAAGACGGGTTGAGAATTAATCTCTTACAACTATTAGACCATATAATGCATTTGTTGTAAGAGTTATAAGCCAATACGTGCAACCTCCTAAGTAGAAGCATCATGAAGTTGTATTTTGCACTCTTAGATATATCAAATCTCTTGAAAAAGAATCTATTATACAACAAAAATTAAACTTCATATAAAAACCTTCTCCAATGTTAATTATGCTAAAGTTATTGATGATAGAAATCGAGTATTACATGTTGCATTAATGTAGGAGGCAAGCTAGTCACATGAAAAAGAAAGAAACAAATTATAATAGCAAAATCAATTGCAAACGTGAAGTAGAACACCGTGGCTTAGGTTGCATGTGAAATTATGTGGACAAAACCTCTCCTAAGAGAATTTGATTTATCCACTAAAAGTCTTCTGGTCTTAAATTTTGATAATTGTAATTCAATTTACATTGCAAATAATCCAGTATCCCACAAAAAAACAAAATATTATAAAACTGATGGTCACGTCATATGAGATGTTCTGTTAGCTAAGAAGATCATTAATCATTATTATATTAGTTAAAAAACTTTTTAATGTGTTTACCAATACTTCAAGACCCCTTCAATTTTTCAAGCTTCGTAGCAAGTTAAAGCTTATTGAACACTATATTCATTGAATAAGTCAAAAGTTTCCCTCTCAACAAATATTAATTCACCTTATTCAGAAGATGGCACCAATGACACAAATAATGTAAGAACACGAAAAAATAGAAACAAAGGAAACATGAAACCGTACATGGCTCACAATTACGCATACAACTCAATGTTTGCTCAATGATGCTCAAAATTTGATATCGCAGAACTCAAAACAATTAGCTTAAGCATGAAGATGGCTCACTCAAAAATTAAATTTGATTCAACGCAAAATCAAGTCAGACTATATCACTAATTAAATAAGCAATCGAGGCAGATGCATCATAGCACACCTCACAATGAGGCACATGGAAAATGCCCCAAAGCTTACGCTGTTATTTTCTACACCAGGCTTACATTATTTTTGGTTAAGTTGAGCACCTTGAGGCTTTATGCTTCAAGGTGCTTAAGGCATCTATCAAAAAAAAAATGTTATATTATATTATAAAATAATTAATGATTAATTAAACTTATATTTCTTTTCTCTGTTAGGTTAATGGAGTAAAAAGGCAGGGTTAAGATCAAAGCCAAGCAAGAAAGGGAGATTGAAGAGTTAAGCCAGCAAAGTGATAGAAGGCAACTATAGAGTCAAATGAGCAAAGCAAGAGCAAGCTATAGCAGCTACAAGCAACAAAGCGGTGTTTGTAACCGTAGGTGTGTGTGTTACTATGTGTATGTGTTTGCACATGTGTTTCTCTCGAACTACCAATTTCATTATAACAAGGACTTTCAGGTGGATAAGAGGTTCAAGATTAGTTTATATGCAGGCATCGATAGACTTGTCATTGAGACTAACTATTTAAAATTTGATGATCAACTTGAAAATTTTCATTAAAAGAATAAAATGTTTTGATTTAAAGCAACCTAATTATGCTACAAGACATACTCTCCAAGTAAATTTGCATCAACTTAAAATTTTATGACTAAAAATTTACATTCAAACTTCTTACTTTTACATGCATTGATCATTTATTTTTTGTTCCAATCTAAGACTTTAGTGGTCACATATGGAAGAGGATGTGCGCGAACATAAAGCAATTGCAATCAAAATTCTCAATTTTACTTGTTCAACCTCTTCATTTGAACGTAACAATAGCATCTTCAACCAACTGTATGCAAAGAGAAAGAACCAGTTGACTATAAAACAAAAGAACAAGGTGGTTTATGTTATATTTAATAAAAGAAATTAAAAGATAGACCCCTCAATTTACAGAGATAGAGAATCGTTGATGATAATATTATTTAGGAGATTGTTGATGAAGAATGGAAAGCGCAAGAAAATCAAAAAACTTATACATGTGAAGTTCCATAAGTAATCATAGCAATATGGACTGATATCTAGTTTCATCATAGAATATGCATGTCTGGTCAAATTAGTTATAAAAGGATAGGAAGATGAAAAAATAAGAAAAATCACAAAATAATAAAGTTAAAAAAGTTCACCATAGAAAAGAAAGAAATTCAGCACATACAATCCCGTAAATATATTGTGAAGGAAACAGCATGTCTTTATAAGTAGATAGCATCAACATATATAGCATCTCCTAAGAACAAAATATATATACTAAAAACTTTCCAAGAACAAATCACTTCTAAGCAGTTACCTATTTCCTGCATCATTGGTGTTATCCTTGTCAACAGGCTTGCTGCATACAGAATCCTCCCAAACAACCTCCATTACTGTAAAATAAAATCATGTAATCATGCAAGAGAAAACAGCTTATAATTAATGCATGTTAGATGGACAATTTCAAAATGCGTGTGCATTGTTTGGTCCTTTTAGCCAGCACGTTGTGGTAAAATTTAATAATGATGGTATCATCTCTATGATATAAACTTAGATCATTGCTGCATTACACGGAACAGCTGCTAGCCGTAGCTGCTGAAAAATATCAGTAACAATCAGTCTTAACAACTGAAGAAACCCTTGGCAAAATTGATTTTGCTAAAAAATATTATAAATAGTCCAGATATAAACAACATCTAAATTTACATATTCTAGAAAAAAATCAATCTTTCTACGCTCCAATATTCATAGGTTACATCCAAAGGTTGAACGAAAGTTAAACATGTAACAATATAGAATTTAAAAAAAAAAGGAAGTTTGAGAGGAAGCAAATCCATTTCAACTTAATAAGAGATATACAACAAAAATGTTAGCCCCCTGAACCCTAAAAAACTTATTTATCATTTTGATGACAACAAACATGACTTAACATAAAAGCAACCCCAATGATAATACCTCTCAAGGAGAGTTTAAGAGTAAGAAATGGATGTAAGCCATAGTCTTCAACACCGTTACTTCACAAGAGCTACTAATGGTAAGAGTTTGTCACTAATCTACTTTTGTTTAAGGGTTGTAGCCAACAAATTTCAAGTTCGTTCTCAAGGACATCTATCACCATGGACAAGCTACTTTGAAAAACAACTAAGTATGCTAGTGCTGAGGAGTTAATCTGAGAAGCCCATTTGCCAACCAAGTTCATATCATCTTCTCATAATTAGAAGAAGTTCTATGAAGAGAACCATGCAAGTTGTGCCTCTAACCACACAAATAAGAAGCATCATAGGCTGTTCTTCCAAAAAAATATATATATCAATAAAAGCACACCACTCCTATGAGAAGCCGAAGAAGTCGAGTTTTCCAATCATCCTTGGTAAGACTCAAGAAGCTCAAATTTATCATCTTAATTGATCTACAATTGCCGTAATGATAGTTATTTAGAAAAGAAACTATTTTTGGTGGCAACCCCATTGAAGAAAATTGGTGAGGAGAGGGATATTCCAATTTTTTTTCAACACCGCAACAATCACGACCATGATAGTAAGGATTACATAGTATTAAATTACTCACAGAAACTAATCAACGAGGCCCATAATAAGGAATTCATTGCTTGCCACTGAAAAGATAGACATGTTGAGGAACAATAGCAAAATTATCATCGCACCCAACAAGGTTGATTAGATCATTAATTACCAAGAGAGTGTCTGAAGCTACTTGACAGCATAGCAGAAGAATGTTAACTGAATTTGACACCCCTTTTTTTCTTCTTCCTCTTCTCCCACCTTTATTATATCCTCTTTGCCAATGATCTTCCTCGTTGGAACATTTATGAAAACGTTATTATTGTATTTGTCATTATTAATCATTTTGAAATTTTATGTATTTTTGTAGACATCAAGAATTTCATTAACGCCTCAATTCCCTTCACGCAAAAGTGCATACCTGGCAGCTTACCAGAAATTTCACACATACCAATAGCATCATCATGCAAAATGATATCCTCCTATTATGAAGATGCTACTTGACTAACATTTAAGCATATATACGTGCCCCTGTTTATCAATTACTATGAGAGCTAAGATCCTGACAAATCCCAAGCCTATCTTTAGAAAAGCGCTAGCTGAGAAAAACTCTAATCATCGCATCACACCCAAAACTTAAAATTTAATGATTTAAAAAATTATTACTAATGCAAAAAACTAACAAATGATAGTTGAATGTAGAAATAGTAATCAACCAAGATTAGTGCTTCCAAAGCACTCAAAAATCAAGACCAATGAATCAAAACCTACCACAACTTTCTTATTTTACCATTTTTTTCTTAAGAAAGGGCTTCTTATTTGTATAATATTCCTTTTTCTTTCATATCAAATATTATAAAAAGCTTCTATTTTATGTTGAGAAGTAAAACCTGTAAATGCTTGCTAGTGTAAAATTTCCTTACCTTCAAGAAATAAAATTACTGAGGTGAATTCTTATATAAATCATTCACACCAATAATCTCTATTGAAAGGTGGTTTGCTGTACAACTCTTTGCTTGGAGTTTCTATTTATCATATGGAAGAAGTAAACACTTTTGAAATCTTAATCACACAACCAAAAGCTACCTTGATTATTTATTATGATATTCCAATGGATCTCAACTTGTGACATACTATATACAAAACATCCACTTAAAAGACATCTCGATAGAAAGCATCTCTCTCGAGCAATATCAAATTATTCAAAATTTTCTCTCAGACTTCTTTAATCATTCACCCTCTTAAGCCCTCAAGTAAAAACATCTTGGGCTCCTGAGACAACTAGTGGCGACTGGCGAGAAGGGTATAAGGTGTTGACAACTACAGCTTATATTGGCTCAGTTTATGAAAGCAAAACCTAAGTTGTCATGCATAGATCGAGTATAGTTGCTCCCAGCCTAATGCTAACAACCAAGGCCTAGTGCTTGAACTCTCAAGTAGAGTATTAAAGGTAAGAACCAAGCAAACCTAGGCAATGGGATGGGGAAGAGGTCAAAGAACCAACAATTTCTATTATTAACAACCATCCAAGCCCAACTCACCCTACCAAAACCCAAGGTAACAGAGCTACAGCAAAATGCTAGTTTTATGCCATATATCTCAATGGTATCTATCTTTTCAGGCAAGTGTTCGTTTTTTGCATAAGTATGAAGTTGATCTCCTTACTTATGAACTCCAAGGAAAGGAGTATATGAATTATGTCTCAATTCTTACAAAAAATGTGAAGCTCAAAAAGTGATCTTTCTCACCACTCAAACTCACACTTATAACCCAGATAATGTCACGTGTACTTAATTATTAAATTTAGAAAGAGGGCAGATCGAAAAAAGTACAATGAACTAACAAAAACAAATATAAAATCTTTTTTTTTATTATAAACTTGTTCAATATCAAAATTTTCTATTCAGTGATCAAAAGTTATATTGTTTGGTACTTCAGCATTAACTATTTCTTCTTTTACAAGAACTTCTTTCTAGGAATTATATCCACCATTTACATAAACTAAGGAGACTTGGGTATATGTTAATGATAGCCAAAAAACCTTAAGGATTTCTTGGGAATCCAATTTTTTTTCTCAAGGATATCCATTACTAAGAGCTAATATTGTGCACCCTCAACCTCCATGAACCATTTTTGTCTTCCCGAATGTCTTCAAAGAATATTGTTATTCCTTCAATAACTTATTGAGCCTTTAAACTCGAAGAGAGTCATTCTTCTTAGCAAATCGCAATCGCAATATTTTGTTCAACACTAACACCTTCTCCAAGCCAGCAAATATGTCAACATCTCTCTTCTCCATCCTCTCCATCCTGGCCTTTAAGACCAATGTTCTTCTCATTGTTAATAGCAGCAACCCAAATCGCTATGAATCACCTATGAGAATGCCCAAGGCTCTACTCCAATACCTTCACGCTCTTCACAAGGCAACAACTTGTCATTAGTGGCCTCGCCATCATGTTTAAGAGCCTACAGATTAGCTCCTCTTAGCCCCTTACCACATAAGGCCCTCTAGAAAAGTTTGGCATGCTCACCTTAGCAATGTGAAACACAAGGTGAATATTGTCATGTTCAAGGATAACATCATAAGGAGTTCTAGTAAGAGAGGTATCTCCAATAAGGATCATCGCAAAATAGCTTTATCTCTAAGAAGAAAAAAAAGGACAAGCAATTACCCAGGAAAATTTAGGAATATGTTGTATACTAACTAAAGAATATAGTTATAACATAGATCATGATACTCTAAATACATTGGTAATGCAATACTCACTATTTAAGCGACACAATCTACTTGATGTTGACGTCCTCATTCATCTAGTTGTCATCATTACAAGCATAAGCATCATTATGTTCAACTTTGCTATAAATATGTTATCAATGGACAATTCAAGATTTATCAAGCATGAACTTGCCTACCTACTTACTCTAAGAACAACATCTATTTAATGCATGTAATCTAATTCAAAGAATCTCTTTTCTTATTTCACCTCAAAGATTTAAGGCAATGGCCAAGGTCAGTGACTTCAATGAATGTTCTTTAAAACCCACCACAAAAGGCCCAAGTGGCGCCATTACTTTTCTCACTTGCTTCTCAAACAAATGTGATTTATTATCTCCACAATTTCGTATGGGGCGTAATTCCCACCCAGTCCTCCTCCCCTTAACTATAATTTCTTCTCTCCTTTCCCCTCACCTCCATCTACCCTCCTCCCTTCCTCATTCATCAATTTGTATCTTTACAAGTGCAAGTTGTGGAATGTGGAGGAAGGGTTTGGAAATGCACTCCCGTGAGGAAAAAACCCTTCCTTGATTGAATCTAAATTGTAACTGTCTAGTAAAAATAAAAGCACAATTGTGGTACTCAGCTGTCCTAACAGGGAAAAAAAGGCTGGACAGAGTAGTGGTTGGTGCAATCGGCTGCTAAGAAACCTCTGTTTTCAAGCACAATTTTGCAATTTAAGTGAACACTCGACCATCTCCCTAATAAGCATGTTTATATTTTATCCTGATTGAAGCTACACCTAAAGTTGCAGCTGAAGGTGGAGTAAGGTTTCTGTAATGCATTCTGACCTTATCTGGACTGCAGTGGGAATTTTGTTTGTTGGGGAAAAATGAGAGCAACAGCTGCATCCGTAACCTTCCAAACTCAGAAAAGGTTGGATAGAGGAATGCTTGGAGTAATAGACTCGCCAGCATTTTAGCTTCTTTAAATACAAATATACAAATCTAGGCACAATGTACAATTGCATTGACCCCACGAACAGATCTCTAAGTGCCCCGCTTATCTGTTCTTTTGGTCAAAGCTACAGCGAAAAGCCCTTTTCTAGACTTCAAGAGTATTAGTTGTTGGGTAATAATGAGAGCACTTCCAGCAAATAGTTTTTCCCTATCCTGTTAATAACACTTAGGAAAAAGACCATCTTACTATCCTTAAACTTTCATTCACCTGTTCAAACCCTCCATAACAACAAAAAAAATAAGATGCTCAACAAAAATGTGTGGGGTTTGACTCCTTCCAAAACAAAAAACGACAATAGAGGTTGGAACCCTTCACAAGCAATGAAAAGCCAAAGAAAATCCCATTTTCACCATGCTTCCTTCACCATTTCTACCTAAAACAGCTTAAAACATCAAAACTTGCAACTGCACCGCTATTTAAGAAAAAAAAATACAAAGAATAGCTATAAAGCTAAATCATGTCTGTCTTAACTGTTATGAGAAAATAAAACTTGAAGATTTGAGTTAAACCACGGTAATCGAATGTACATACCTTCCCTTCCTCGCTCATCAATTCGTTTCTTCACCACTTTCTTCCTTTTGGATACCATAGAAACATTCTCCTTTTCATTTGTGCTGGCAACAACATTATGCAAGTTATTTTCAGCCTTCGGAAAAGAAACCTCGGCTATGCCATTATTTTCTGATGATGATAACTCGCAACTCTTTTCATTATTTGCTCGCTCATTAACTAATTTTTTGGCCTTTAGTTTATCAGCACTGACTGTCTCCGTCTTCATACTCAAATTTTCAGCATTTTGCAAAGAGTCTGGAAATGACTTTTCATTTGGAGGAATTGGAGATGCTAGGGACACCACATTATCATTTTCATCTTCTTCGTCTGAATAACTAATAATCAACTGTCTTTTCCTAGTGCCAGAACCATTTGATTCTCTCTTGTAGGATACACCGTAGCCCTCATCATCACTACTCAATGCATCAGCCGCCTCTTCCGCATGAATTTGAGCATCGGCAGTAACTGAACAATATTAGAACCATAAAATCATGGGAAAACTAGGAAAGCACTATAGCTATTGAATTAAAATAAAAAAAATGCAATGCATGAATTGAACTTACAGGCAGCATTTCCACTATGATGGGTGGAATGTGACGCCATACTTGAAGGTTTTGACTTCACTGATGCACAATCCCACAGTGTGGTCAATGACCCACCAGTTCCAGATGAGGTTTTCTCATTTAGAACACTCCACTCTTTCTGTTAGCCTGAACAGGATTAGCTGTTTCTTTGACAGGATTAAACTTAGTAGTATTCTTGCCAGGATTTTGATCAGCTTTGTCAACAGACCCCACTGCATTAGAGGCCTTCGGCTCTACCTTTACACCACCTTTGCTCTGCTGGGGTTGCAAATTCTCATCCTGAGGAATGTTGCAGGCTTTAGTTTGCACGATTCCAACATTATCTTTAAGTTGAGAAGTCGAAGAAACAGCAGCTGATTGACCATTGATAGCACGTTTAACGAAGCCATTGGAAATGCCACCAAACCTGGAATAGAATGGTAAAACACATCAGCATAATTCAATTGGTTTCAAATAAATATTCAAGGAAGATTTACATACATACCACTCAATTATTGTGTATTTACACATCTAACACCTAAACATCAATTTTTACATATATGTCACCTTACCCGTGAATGAAAAGGTGTATTTCACTTTTTTTAAGTTAACATGGTGGTATTTTTGATGTGTCATAAAGGATTTGAGTGGTATAAAAGTAAAAAAGCAAAGGTTTGATGTTAGATCTATAAGTACATAGGAATAGGGTGGCATGCGTGTAAATGCCCCAAAATTCAAACATTTAAAATGCATACAAAAAAGAATAAGATTTTTGTGACTAAGCTGTGCCAAGAATGGCCATAACAAACAAGTTTGACATATGAACACAAGTTATTGCACCTATTGTCCCTCAAAGAATTTTCAACAGCTGATGGTTGATTAAAGAGCTCCTCTGCTTGAACAAATTCAGCATTCCAAAGCACTGCAAGATCTTTCGGTAAACAACTTTGAATGCTGTAAACCTCAACTGAACAATTACCATCAAATTCCTTTATTACTTCTGCAAAAATCAAAAGAAAAGAAAAGCCCATTTCAGAACAAAACGTTAATAAAATGAAAGAAGAAAAAACAAGTGGAATTGAGCATAGCAAAGAGCTTCTTAATACAAAATGCTCGAATATCCGCAAAGAGAAGCAAGCTGTCTAAAAAAGTTTTCAGGCTTCAGCATTAAACGAAAAGGTTAATAATTATCACAAAATTTCTCAGTATGAAAACTGATCTGCAAAAACCTTTTATTTGCTTGTGGATCTCTAATTAATGAAGAGCACTTGTAATTGCTATTCAAGTAAAAAAAAGGTCAACTTACAATTGATGACATTGTTGGGACAAATTTAATGTAAAAGATGACAATCATGATAGTGATGATGATGTGGCTCTTCTTTAACAGCTTAATTACAAACAATTTGACGCAATGGATTTGAAAAAAATTGTCACATACAGTTCTTTCTCTATAAATTCCTTGTCCTTAATTGAAATCAAATTAATCTCTTCCAACAGCCACACTATGAATATTTCTAATTTCTCTCGCCCCCCTTCTCTCTCTCTCTGTCTCTCTCTCTCTCTCTGTCTCTCTCTCTCTCTCTCTCTCTCACACACACACACACACACACACACACAAACACAAAAATATCGAAGGAATAGCAATTTTACAAGAAATGATTCGTTTATTTAAAGTAAATCATGTCACCCCTTAAAAAATAAGCAGTGGGAATTGATCCAAAAGCATTGTCAAATAAAAAATCAATAAAATGCAAAAAAAAATGTAGAGTAAAAGTAATAAAATCTCTACTGAAAGGTTCTGCTAGTTAAGATGTGCATGTGTTCTCAGCAGTAGAACCAATGCTAATCTATTGATTGTCTCTAAATTATTAACTCAGATTTTCTTTCTTTGACACTATGATTGTCGATCCCAAGCCCGGATGTAAAAAGTGGAGGGTTGCGTTAGGTACTCGACAGCCAGCGTAACAATTGTCGAAAAAAAATCATGATATGAATCATTTTGATCATTGTGTAAATACTAGGGCGTCCCCTGAAAACGACGCGTTGTATAACCTACATACAATGATAAATGTGCAAGGGCCGCTACATCTGTGTCCGGATGTAATGTTAAATAAGCAAGGGTTTACACATTACAGACGAATGCGGGTAAAAAAGTTAGTTCATGAAACTAATGAAACTAATATTATGATAGGATCTTGGAATATAGGTACTCTCAATGATAAATTAATGGAATTAGTTGATATTTATCAATGATAAATTAATGGAATTAGTTGATATTATGATTCATAGGAAAATTAATATATTATGTATTCAAAAAATTAAATAGATTGGAGAAAAGACTAAAGATATTGGTATTTTAGGTTTTAAACTTTGGTATTCTGGTAAGAGTCGCACTTGAAATGGTGTAGGTGTAATTATAGATAAGAGTTTGAAAGATAATGTAGTAAAAATTAATAGAGTTGGAGATAGAATTATAGCCCTTAAGATTATCATTGATACTAATATTTTTAATATTATAAGTGTTTATGCTCCTCAAGTAGGTTTAGATACAAGGTCTAAAGATAAATTTTGGAATGACTTAGAATACTTAATACAAATGATATCTCTTGAAGAAAAAATTTTTATGGGAGGAGATTTAAATGGATTTGGAGTAACTAATGAATTAGGTAGAAGACTTCAGAAATACTCATTGTGGCTACAGTTTTGGAATAACCAATGAAGTAGGTAGAACTATTTTAGATTTTGCTTTAGCGTGTGATTTTGTTATTACTAATACTTTATTCAAGAAAAAAGATGAGCATCTTATTATTTATAATAGTGGATCTAATAAAACACAAATTGATTATTTTCTTATGAGAAGAAGAGATCGTCGAGATTGTAAAGATTAAGGTCATTCCAAGTGAGAATTTAAGTACCCAACATCGTTTATAGTTCTATATTTTAACATAAAGAGTTGTAAAATAAAGAATACTAGGACTCATCATCGTAGAATTAAATGAGGGAACCTAAAAGACACAAATAAAATTATTTTTATGGGTAAAATTCAAGATTTCAAAATTTGGGATGTTCATGATGAAGCAAATGTTATGTGAGATAAAGTAATAAATACTATCAAACAAGTAGCAAAAGATGTGATTGGAGAATCTAAGAAAAAAAAAATTATTAATAAAAATAATTGGTGGTAGAATAATAATGTGCAAGAAAAGATAAAATATAAGACGTTATGTTATAAAAATTGGTTTAAATGTAAAAGCTTAGAGAATTGGGAAAAATATCAAACGACCCGCAGGGAATCTAAAAGAAAAATTTGTGACGCTAAAACTTCTGCTTTCAATGATCTTTATAATATATTAGATACTAAGGAAGATGAAAAATATATGTATAAACTAGCCAAATAAAGATAAAAGAAAAGTAAAGATTTAACTCAAATAAAGTGTATTAATAAAGTGTAACTCAAATAAAGTGTATTAAAGATGAAAATCAAAATGTACTTTTCTTAGAAAAATATATTCAATATAGAAGGGTGAGTTATTTTGATAAACTTTTTAATAAAGTTTCTGAAAATACGATCGACCTTAGTGATCTTAATATCATGAATAATAATAAAACGTTTCATTTTTATCATCAAATTAGTAAAAAAAAAGTTAAGAAGGCTTTACAGAAAACCAAGGGTGGAAAGTCTATAGAACCTGATGATATCTCAATTGAAGTGTGGAAATATTTAGGAGATTTGGGAGTTTCTTGGCTTATTAAACTCTTTAATATTATTTTAAAAACTAAAAAGATGTCTGAGGAGTGGAGGA